GTTGCTTGTCTGGCAGGGGGAATCCCAGGTGACTTGGGGGCAAAAAGCAGAAGCTGAAAACTAGATCCTAGCTCTGTGAAGTGTGCGTGGAGCCGAAAATGAGATCTGTCTAGACAGGGAGCTGATCTGTCGAGCAGTCTTTCTTCAGCTGCATCTCTTCATGGCTGACAATGTAAAAACTTCTTTCGTACAGCTTTCATTTTTCTTTTTTTCATTTTCGTTTGCATGAGAAGCATGAAGGGCTTTATAAAGGAGGTCTGCACCATTAGGTTCATTTTAGGGAAGGAAGTGTCCAGTGCACTTCAGCAGTTTGGTGGATGCCCCATCCCTGTGGACACCCAGGATCAGGGGATGGGGCTCTGAGCTCCTGATGGAGCTGTGGGTCTCCCTGTTCAATGCACGGAGTGGGACCAGATGGCCTTTAAGGTCCCTTCCAGCTCAAACCATTCTATGATTCTATGATTCTAACCTCCTTTGGGCACCATAATGTGAAAGCAGATATTGGGTCTCTCAAAGCTGGATTCTGGCTGTACACTGAAGCCATTTATTAACAGCCGTGCTAAGCAGACTCTTGCTTTATTTCCCAAGATGTGAGGCTTAGTTTTTCCCTTTCGTCGAACGGATGGGAAAATAAAGACCTGGATCCTTCCAGAGCCTCAAAAGCAGGCGACCCAGCATTAAGGCTGCTTGGCCTGATGGCAGACGACCTGCACCCACCTCAGAGTCAGAAAGAAGTCGTCATGCTTGAGCTCTGACTCTGCTTTTGTGCCGTGTTTATTCTGGCACATCCCTTGTTGACGACGGTAGGAGCAGCGCAGATTTATGCTGTCGTAAGTGGAATCAGATTGGGCTCCCTTTTGGCACTTAGCTATAAAGTTTGTCTGCAGAAGCCCTGCGGCTTATGCGGTGAATTATATCAGCGTTCACAAATACTTTACTAATGAATGATTGGGAGCGTCTTTCTCCCCCCTCCCCCTCTGAGTTATTTCAATGCCTTGCCATATAACCTGCTGCAGAGACAGGTGTAAAAAATTTGGTGTCCTCCAAGCTCAGAGAGCTGTGCTGCAATAGGAGGCATTATCTGCTCGGGAAATCATTTAGTTACATCTCAGTGCTGTATGACACATCTCATTACGCCTTGCTTTAAAACGAGCAATTGCCATTAGTTATTTATTAATTGCTTATTAAGGTCATTATGTATGTCCTCTTCGTTTCCCGGCCCTTCTCCCAGTGCCAGGTTTGTGCAGGGGGATTGGGGGAGGGGGGCTGAGCCCTTTGGTGAAGCTGGGCCAAGGGATTGTGCAAACCCCGGGTAGGGTCTGCACCCAAAATTGGAAGTTTTTTGTATACAAGCCTGCACGACCCAGGACATCTCTGGTGGCTGCATGTAGCTCCTGTTTCTCTCTCTGCCTCCTCCTACTTCATGGACTACTTCCTCAGTGCAGCCTCTGAGCTGTGCTGGTGTTATGGAAGGGTGATGCCCTCTCTGCTTTCCTCTTGTGGTTGTGTGAGAGTAGCAGCACCTGATTTAGAAGCACATTTTAGGAAACAGTTATTAACTGAAAGAGTGATGCTGCACTGCCCGGCTGCCCAGGGAGTGGTAAGGTCACTGTCCATGGGGGTGTTCCATAACCATGGGGATGTGGCACTGAGGGATGTGGGCAGTGGGCAGAGGGGTGTTTTGGGGTTGGACTTGGAGGTCTGAGACGTCTTGTCCAACCTTTATGATTCTAACTTGGTGTTGGGGTCCCTGCACCGCATCGCAGCCAGCCCTGCTGTCCCTCAGTTGTTGGTGCAGCAGTGTGGGCTCCATGTGATGCTTGGCAGTGCAGTGAGCAGGGCTGGGGCTCCCAGCAGCAGGGCCCTGCTAGCAGTGTGCTGTAAAACACGGAGAAGTCTGTGGGTAACAGTGGAAAGTGTCTGTTATTAAAGGCACGAGCTGTGGCAGCCTGATGCTCAGGAAGCTGCCAGTGCACATCACAGATCGCCTGCAGAACACAAGTCTGAGTCTCCCTCTTTTTCTTGCTTCAAGATGCTTTTATAGATGTTCTTTGCTGTTGCCTTTGATCTGGAACAGATGTTGCTCATGCTGGAGGATGGAGGTTTGCATGTTTTATGAGGGGGAAGCAAGCCTTACCAGCAGAGCCCGTCTTGCTGGCAGGCTGCTGGCATGGGCATTGCTGGGGCTCTGCACTATCCAGCAATACCCCATGCACAGATAGCAGGCAGAGATGCTGCAGCCCCATCTCCTATCTTGGTCAGGATGTAGGTGGCTGAGCCAAAAAACACAGTTCCTCATTGCAGGCACCCTTGCAGGCTCATGCTGGTCTCCTTCCCCTGTATCTGGTGGTGAGCTTGCTCCAGGCCCTGGGCTGTGTGTGTCAACAGGGACAAGCTGGATGCGGTGCAGGGACTCAGCATCTGTGCACAGCACTGCGTTTGGCTGCTGCAGGGTGCGTGCAGGGGGCGTTTGCACCTGTGTTGGCTCTGGGATGGATGCTGGGAGGTTCAGCCTGTGCCAGGGCCAGGAGGGTGCGTGCGCACACAGCACAAGTTGGGGAGTACATCTGTGTAGGCAAGTGCATATGCTTGGAGCTGCACAGGCATCTATCACCTGACTGAACACCCTGAGCGTGTAACGTGCCATATGGCTTGGTTAAATATTTAAGCACGCTGCTTTCTGTCCCTGGGACTCCGTGCATGCAAGTCCAGCCGAGCTCTGGGTTTGCAGTTCGGCACTGCGCTGAGACCTTTCCCATCGCTGTGGCAAGAAAAAAGAGGGGGGGGGAAGAAAGCAGAATTCAGATCGATGAAACACCAGCCGGTCTCTGGGGAAATCTGCACTGTGTCACTGGAGCAGCTTGGCCAACACTGCCATGTTTAATCACTTCTGAGCAGGAGAGATGCTGAACACAAAAGGACTGCCCGCGAGGAGAGGTTCCCGCCTGGGAAGCCGGCATTTATTTAGCTTTATTTATTTATTCATTCCCATTGGGGCGCAGCTCCATCTGCGTCCCGCGCTCAGCAGAAGGAATTTCTCCTCTGCCCCAGTGCTGCAGCAGTGCCGACTGATGGGGAAAGCTTTGAGTGGAGGGAACGGCAGCACCGGCGGCCGTTAAATAATGTTAAATATATACTTGCGATCACTTATTTATTGAAGTTTCCCTCTCTAGTGTAGTAAAAGCCTGACGACGTACCTGCTAAGTCTCAAGAAAGGCATTTTACAGAGTGCGCGTGGTTAATTATTCAAACGTTTAATTAGCATACAATAACTGTCGCGTTAAATCCTACCGCTTTTAATTTAAGTGGTTCCTAAAGACTTTGCTGACGCTGTCGCTCTCCTGCTCCCCAGCCCTCACCTCATCCCAGGCAGGCTGCAGTGCATTGCTGGAGACCGACCGACCGAGGGCCATTCCCAAAAGCTGCATTTGCACTTGTCGTGCTGCAGATTCTCCCATTGCATGGCCAAAGCCATCATTTCACCTCCCTTTCCCATCCCCAGCAGCATGGAACACTGCAGGAGCACTGGTGCTGCTCTGCTGGGGAGGAGCAGGAAGCGATGCCCTTCAGGATGCATTTTCAGGAGAAGTGGAAACCAAAGTTCGATTTGTTTTGATTATGATTTAGAATCTGGTCATTTAATTTGATTGCAGATTTCTATCCGTCACCCGTGTGGATGCAAATCCCTGTGCGTGGCACCGGCATCACAAATGCAAAGGCTGAATTTGCTGTTTGCCAGTCTCAGTGAGCTCGGCAAAACAAGCCAAATATGAGTGATGCGAATCCGTTAATTAAAAAACATTGCCAAGGTTCCTCCTTGGTACGGTGTGCATTGCATGGGAGATGGCAGATAGCATCACTGTGCGGGACCGACAGCTGCAGTCAGCTGGGCTCCTTAGAATCCTACAGTCATTATGGTTGGAAAAGACCTCTGAGATCATCCAGTCCAACCGTCCAGCTCCCACCAACACTGCCCACATCCCTCAGGGCCGCATCTCCATGGTTGTGGAACACCCCCAGGGAAGGCGACCCCTCCCCTCCCTGGGCCTTTGGCTCCAGCACTGCTCATCCCTTCAGTATCAAACCCCCATGGCCCGTGTGATTCTGAAAGCTCCGTTGTGGGAAGCACGCATTGGTTTCTTGGTTCCTCCCTACTTGTAGCACTTTGTCATTAATTGCATCTCCGTGGACTACACGGCTGTTGGCAGAGCATCTCCCAGCCGTCCATCCCAGGAGATGTGTGCCCTCATGCTGGGCTTAATGACACTGATGAATTTTAATATTTCCTTTGGTGATGCCTTCACGGCCGCTGTCCTGCCCAGAGCCCCATTCTGGGACCTCCTGATTCGATGCATGATTATCAGATTAGCCGTCATGCCCAGAGCAGCAAAAAAATGAACTCCCAGAAGCCCTTCAAAACAGGGAATAATTCATTACCCACCTTGATTTCCACTTAAAATGTACTTTAACTACACTTCCAACTACAAACCCTAAATCACCCTCATGTTCACAAAAAATCCATCATTTCTTATTTTATTGCACGGCACTGGCATGACATAATCCCTTCCAGAGCGTCTTGGAGTGCTTTACGGATCAATAAATTACTTACCTGCACAGCAGAGGCAATGCGTGCAAGGCCATTGCAGACATTGCAGTGTGTGTGCAGCAGCTGGGATGGGGACAACAAGGGACGGGGTCCTTGGGAGCAGCAGCTGGGTGGGGAATGCCCCGTTTGCTCCTTGTCTGTTTCCCATCGTCAGCCCCTTTCTTTTTTATGTCCCCTCTTTGGGTCTGGCCCCATGCCATGTGCGCGCTCAGGGCCTCGTGTTGCACTGGGGTGGCAGAATTAAGGCACAGAATTGAAGAGTATGGAGTTGGAAGGGACCATAAGGATCGTTGAGTCCAACTCCTGGCTTCACACAGCACCACCCAAAAATCAGACCACGTCAATGGGAGAGCTGTATGGTTATGATGGTGTTTCCTTCTTTGTGTCGCTGCAGTGTCGCCGAAAATTATCGAGATCTCTTCTGACATCTCCATCAATGAAGGCGGCAACGTCAGCCTCACCTGCATAGCCACAGGAAGGCCAGACCCCACAATCACCTGGAGACACATCTCACCCAAAGGTAGGAGTCAAACGTCGCCCAAAATACCCCAAAAAGGGCTGGGAGGTGCTGCTGGCTGCTTCGCCTGTTGCTGAAGTTGAGTAAAGAAGATGATGTGCACTGAAAAGATGTAACTGGATGCAGGAGGGTTTTGTTAGGGAATTATCCAGCCTGGTGGCTTGGGAGAGGAATAATGTGGGTTTTTTTCTTACGTGGAGGACTGGTGGTGGTTACCAGGTTGGGGTTGTGCTGTGCATTGGGAGTGCTGGGGCTGCCACAGCAGGTGGCTGCGTGTGGCACAGGGCTGCGTGCTGAGAGCCCCCCCAGGGAACCTCACACATTGCATCAGAGAGGGGCTGGAAATGGTGCAAAGCAACAAGAAAACGCACGAAGCATTAATTGGTAGCCTTGTTAATTGGAAAGCAAACCCTGAGCAGAACTGTGTGGGTGGGAGTGCTGGGAAGTGAATTCCCATACACACCCATTGGGGGCTGTATGACTTCAAAATCCTCTCCTCACTGCTTTTGGGCAGTTGGATTTTGCTCTTTGTCTGCGCTGTACAAGCTGCTGGGCCAGACCCATCCTTCCTCATGGCCCCAGCAGAGAGCAAGCACAGTCGGTGCCATCTCAGGCTGCTCTCTTGACAGGAGCCTCTGGAAGATACGTTTCTCCATCCTGCATCCCTCCTGCCCCCAGGACCCTCCTCTCCCACTCCCTGCCCCTCGCTGCCTTCCTCCCCTGCACCCATCCATCCTCTCCTAACCAGGCTCCAGCTCCCAGTGCCTCTCACTTTCACAGGGGTTATTTTCGCTGTTTGCTGCCATCCTGCAGGTTTCTTTCCCCAGGGAATCTTTACCTGTGCTTGAACCAGATGTTTCCATTTTACTTAGGACTTAGCTGCTATGGAAACTGAGGATGCATCACGAGAGGAAGAGTGAGCTAATCAGAAATTACCTGTGGTGCTCTGTAATTTGCAGCAGCAGCTCTTACCCGATTTTGGCCATGATTAGGCATTCTGCCTTCAAAGCTCAAAGAGAGCAAATGATTGCAAAGATTTACCTGGCTCTGCCTGCCTGACAGAGGAGGGTGCTGAGCACAGGGATGGCCCAAGACAGCTCTGGTGGCTGCATGTAGCTCCTGTTCCTCTCCCTGCCTCTGGGGATGCTCTATTTGCCCGTTTCCAATTCAGCATGTATACAGGAGACAAGGATTTGAAGTACAGGGACTGAAATAAGAGCCAGAGCAGGTGTGCAGAGGTGCTTGTAGAAGATGCCAAGGTGATGATGAGCTCCCTGGGAGGAGATGCTGTGGTTTGGAGATCCAGGACCCAAAGCTGGCGGCTGCTGTGCCAGTGCTGGAGGAGCTGCTTCCCATACTTGCACCAACGAGTGCTCCTCTGCACAGCAGCACTTCACGGGCTTTATTATTTTCTTGGCAGCTCTCAGTCTGTTCTGTGGTTCTTGGTGAGAAATGAAGCAAATAAGAGTGTTTGCTCACTGGAAGGAGCATGCAGTCTGGTTTCCCAGAGGATTGACACCAAAGCAGCTCAACTCCCCAGCGATCCATCCCACTGCAGTCCCTTCCCAGCCACCTGTCTCCTGTCAGTGCACAGGTTGAAATGGAATAAGGAGGAGGTGGGTGCAGACACACGTTCCTCCATCACAGGGCTCTGCTGAGAAGCCACAGCTGTGACAAGGGGTTTGGGGGCTGCACATGGCAGAAAACCCATTTGGGAAGCCAAGCTCCAGCACCCAGCAAGCCAGCTCCATCCCCTGTGCCAAACCCACTGGGATGTCAGTCAAGAGAAGTGTTCCAGCAGGGTGAAATCTCTCAAAGTTACGAGGGCTTCAGATGCATTGGTCCTGGCACCACGGTGCTGATGCCATCTGCAAACAATGGTGAGACCTTGTGGTTAATGGTGTGGTTTTGGTCACGCAGGTGTTCCCATAGTTACTGGGCTCTTTCTTTATTTTTGGGGTAACTCTGATGTTGTCATGGTGATTGCCACGTTGTCAGCTTGGTTTTCATCTCTTGGTGAACAAATGCATCCCTGTGGCAGGCACGAGACTTGTCTTGCCTCCTGTTAAGCTCAGGAAAAGTGCTGATGAACTGCAGTGAGTGGCACCAAGGGCTCACTGCTATCCCGAGCCAAGGGCTGCATCCAACTCGTCATCCTTAACAACCCTTGATAGACTTTTCTGCCACGGTTTTGTCTAATTGCTGTTTGATTATTGCAGTAGTATGATGGATTCTGGTGTAAGGCTTAAGAAGGGAGACTGCCAGGGTAGCAAAACATTATGGTTTGGCTTGATGGTGTATTTACTCATAAGAGGGCTGATCAAAAGGTCTTTATAGAAGGAATCCCTCATTAATCTTAGGATTAGTCTCGGCAATGAAAGCAGGAGCCCAGCCCTGCCCCACAAGCACAGTGCTGCATTGCTGCTGGGCCAGCAGCACCTGGAGGGGGATGTGATGCTTGGCGGGCCCCATCCTGCCATGACCCAGCTGTCCTCAGTGAGCAGTTCTGTTAACCTCTGCTTCCTCCCTGGGAGAGGTGAGACGGCAGTCCGTTGCCTGGCAGGGCTGAGGGGAGGCTAAATGCATTCAGGACGTGAGGTGCTTGGGTGTGGGAGTAATCACAGCTTGTATATGCACTTAAGATAGATGAGACATGGTGGCCTGATATGGCAGAGGTCTCTCGAGATCGTCTGTCTATACATCAGCAGCAAAGCAGCGGAGGGACTCTGGGAGAAGTGTGGTATATTTGGATTTATTGATTCTCTCTGGCTCTTGGCAGGGCTTAAAATAAAAGGAAAAGCTGCTGAAAAAACATCCAGCTTGAGGAGTTGCATGTCCCCAGGAAGGGGGGCACGTCCCCTCCATTCAGATGTTTGTCCATTGAGTGCATTGCTTGCTGCACCTAATCTTTCCAGATCCTTTCTGGACTGCAGGCAGGAGATGCCTTAGAGCCTAGAAAGGAGGCACTGGGAGAAGCAAGGGGAACCCTTGTCCCCAGGAAGGGCTCCCTGTAACCATGCCTCAAGTTACCACTGTATGGGAACTGCTGAGTCTCGGCCTGAACCTCTGATTGATCACCTGAGGTGAGCCATGAGGAGCACAGGTGAAGGCAATTCAGCTGTGCTGCTGGAAGGGATGGAGCCTGGCTGCACCCCTCCTAGACCTATTTAAGAGCTGGCTGCCAGTGGGGAAGGATCTCTGCTGGAGATTGCCTCTGCTGGAGTTCTGTGGGTGAGCCCAGCATTAGGGTAAGCCTTCCATTTATTTTCTTTTGTTATCATAGTCTACTTTGCCTAACTCTCTTGTTTATTTTGTGATTATAACAGCCTAATATTTTTTGATTATGCAACCACTTTCACTTAATGACAGAGAATTGTTCTCTCTGCTGGTCATTTTGACAGGGAAATGGCTCTCACAGAGCAGCTGATTCGTGCCTATTGCTGTGTTCCTCCTGGATCTTATGTATGGTTTTACGCTGTCTCTTGGCTCTTACTGAAGGTTCAGAAGGCACTGGAGAAGGCCAGTGCACCTGCCTTGCCTTTCTTGTCTGTATTTAGATGACATTTAGTTGTATGCATCTTCTTGAGCTGAGCAAACACCAGAGCCAACTGCAGCCTTGGGGGAGGTAGGGGTGTGAGCCCCAATTTGTGAAGAAGGACTTCTGTTGTATGGGCCATCAACAGCGGTATGTGAAGGAAAGGAATTGAACCTCTTGTGGCTGGAGCAGAGAACCAACCCAGAGCTGCATTGTTGGGTTGGGTTGGACTGAGTTGGGTTGAGTTGGTTTGAGTTCGGTTGGGTTGAGTTGGGTGAGGCTGGGTTGAATCTGACTGGGTTGACTGAAGTTTAGTTGGGCTTGTTTGGGTTCAATTGGGTTGACCTGGACTGGGTTGGCTGCTCTGTCAGACATGACATCCCATCTTGCCTTGTTGTATGTGTTCCCCTGATCTCATGGCCTTTCTCCAGCACTGAGGCCCTGACTGCCTGCAGAGGCCAATGCCCAGGATCTTGCAGAGGCTCAGCCAGCAACCCTCATCCTCCTTCCAGGAGGCACTGCAGGCCTGGGCTCCAGCTAAATTAACTGAAGCATTTCAACAGGCTCCAATCCTGTCGGCAGCTCAACCGTCCCCTTGTTTACTGTTGAAATAATTACTGCTTTGCCATAATATTAGCTCTGAGCCGTGACTCCATTACCATTATCGCCGGAATATTACCCATTTATTATCTCCCAGCAACCCTGGAAGATGAACACTAGGCTTCAGAGACCAATTGTTTTACAACAGACAGGATCTTGGTGTGCATTGTTTAATGAGGTAAACTACATTATAGCCGGCATTAATTTGGCTGCGGTGCACTCCACTAAATCATTGTTAACCTGTAAATCTGCCACCCATTTTGATGTGCATTTAATCAGTGCACTCCGGACAGATCCATTGGGAGAAGGGTCACTGGTGGCTTATTTCCATTGGTACCAGTGTGGCACAGGCAGCAGTTTTTGGCCAAGGTGAAGGCGGTGCTGGCTTGCAAAGTTCTTGTGCACGCGTTGCAGGCAGCAATGGGATCCTACCAGGAGCAGGGGGAAGATTTAGCTCCCCAAAGCCTGCTATGGGAGCAAGGTGGGGTAGGAGTGACTTAATCCTGGGTAACACATCATGCACGTTGGGTGCTGACTGTGCACGGCCCTTCTTAGTCTTTCCTCTCCAATGCGATGCCCTTGTTCTTCTTGCTATTGTAAAGCAACAGGAGATTATGTACCTACGTGTGTATATATATAAAAGTAATATTTTTGTTTCTCCACATGGTGGAAATGAACCCGCTCAGCTGATTTGTTTGCATATTTGGCACAGCCGCCTTTACAAGATGCATTTTCGTACAAAAATAACAAGACCCCTACCAGCTACAAATGAGGCAATGCCTTTCCATTACAGAAAGGAGCAAAAAAAAAAACAAACAACTCTGTGCTTCAGCATATTCCCTAAGCACAGCTTTGCAGTGTCACTCTT